TAATGTGACTCAGCTCCTGAGAAATGATGCCACCTTCCCTGTGCATGTTAACCAGGCTAGATTTCTGAGCACCAGGGCTGAGCACTGGCCTAAATCCCCCACTCCCCAGCACCTCCCACCATGAGCCTTCCTCCAGGGGCAGCCCTTTTTGCATCACTGTCTTAAGTTCTACACCAAGAACTTTTCATGTGCAAGGTATCTGGCCATGAATTTAGAGTCTCAAAGAAATAAAACATTGCGAGTCTCATGAGCTCCCAGGCTCACTGTGGCAATGATGTGTGACAAGTTAGGAGTGAGAGAGAATGGCAAAGCAGAGAGGGCCAGGGGTTACAGGTATGACAACTAAGGGCCAAATGAGAGCTCATAGATGAGCAAATTTCTGCCAGCCCCTCCGCCCCCGCAGCCACTCTCCCCAATAGTTGGAGCTGCTGTAGCCAAAAGTTACATTACTGAGAAATGTTCTCAAAGGACATCTTTTGACTTGGAGCAAAGTAAGTATCACTTTCCAGACTTCTGTGTGTCATGTGATGTAGGCAAAAGCTACAGTTACTTTGGAAGCAGACAAACCTGATTTCAAATCCTGTCTGTCCCGTTTAATTATGTAAGACTAGGAAAGTCAGTGAGCCTATCTCCGTAGCAGTTCTTGCTCCTGTAAAAGACAATTACAAGCATTTTTCTGTAGGGCGGTAGTGGGTCCTAGAGAAATAATTTGGAAGACACTGTGAACACAGGTATTTTTTTTTTAAGTTGCTAATCTTACTCCTGCTGCTTAGGCAAATTGGTCAGATCATTTCCCTCTGAGCCAGCGTGTCATAGCTAATGGGCTGGAGGAGTTAGGTGTAGTTTGAGTTGGGATTTACTACCTGTGTGACCATAAGCAATTCACTCAACCTCTGTGAGCACCGGTTTCCTCTTCTGCAATGTATAGGTTTTAAAACCCAGTGGGTGGTCCTAGTAAGTGAGACCATATAAAAAAGTTATATAGTGTCAGGCACGTAGGCACAGACTCCTAGATTCCTCACCTTATCCTGCTTCTGATCTCAAAACACATCCAGCTCATTCAGTTTAATTATGGAGATGATGAAGCATGGGGAAAAGCTGCTGAGAGCTGAAAGAACCATATTCTCATTTTTCTTTTCTAGAAAACCAAAGGTCTTTTGACAATAACTTTAGCCAAATCTCTGCCTCTGGCCAATGCTTTACACTGGTGAATTACAGCTGTGGAATCTTTGTATCATTTGGTGTTGATAAAATGAGAGTTCCTGTGGCTAGGATTCTCACCTGGCCCTGGCTGACTAGCTCACTGCACACCTGTGGGCAATACATGGCTGTTGACTATAAAAAGAGCTCCGCCCAGTGCTCTGGGCACAACACGGTGGCAGGGCTGCAAGGCTGCAGGAGAGCAGAGCAGAGGCTGGAGTGGTGGCAGCGCTGAGGACAGAGACCCACAGGATGGCTGTGTAGACAGAGGGGCCCAGAAGCAGAGACTGGCTTGCTGAATACATACTCGCTCTGAGTAAATAGGATTCAAGTGACTGACCTGCCACCTGGAAATAAAGTTGGGTACAACCCTTTCAATTGACCAAAGAACACTTTGCTGTCAATTTCATTGGTCACACTGAATCCATAGCAAACTTGCCTGGGGCTGAAACCCATTGGCAAGACATTTGGTAGATTGATTGATGAGAAAATAACCTGTCATTCTTGGGATGGGTAGTTTATCACTTTGTATCTGCTTTTCCACTTAATCTTCCTAGCACCCATGGGGGTAAATGCTGTTCTTTCTAAGGCTGTGACCCACCCACAGGTTACAGAGTGCATGCAGAGGTTGAAGTAGGTGTCAGCTTTAAATAACTGGCTCAGTCTCCTCCAACCTTCTTCCCCTCGCACTGTCTGTCCCTAGATGCTCAGTGCTACTTCCTTGTGAATATAAGGTTCCTGTATTTCAATTTTCCTATTGCCTGAGGTCTCAGAAGTTTGATTTGGGCCATTCATTCTCCAAAGTATCTTGGACAGCCCTTCCAGTAACCAAGAATGTGGTCAGACAAATCACTGGCCTCTGATTGGGTTTGAAATAAACCAAGTATGAAGGCCAAATGCTTTCACTTTCGGGAAATGAGCTGGTTATTTGAAAGGATTAGGAATGATTCAGTGTTATGTTTGGGGGAGGGCAGGTAGAGAGTGCATCCTGCTGTGGTGATTACTAATTAATCAGCCAGGCTCATGGTCTGTGTGTTTGGCTCTATAAATAGAAAGCAGATGCTGCTGTGGGGGCTGCCAGAGTGAGGAAAATAGCAGATATGTCTTCAAGCTGTGACATTTTCAATGAAAAGGATCTGAATAAATGATGTTAGGTTTTTAGACATTTTATTAAAAGTAGTAGTGGGTATGTATAGCTATAACACCTCATTCTTCTCAGAGAAAACCTGCCTAAAATAGGTTTCAAATAAACTATCCCAATCTCCTTGTCAAAATGAACAAGCAAACAAAAGGTTTGGGAGTGTAAATAATTATCAACTGGACTTGCAGAATCAACCTATATTCAAAGTGCATTCTTGTTCTCTCAACAGTAAGACACATACTCAGAGCATCTTTTAAGTGCCAGATACTTTACAGCTGTTACCTCCTTGAATTCTCATAAAAACCCTGTGAGGGAGTGGGCTTTTATTCATTTATTTTTCTAACTATCATCTAGACGAGGAGAGGAAGGCAGAGAGAGTGAAGCAATCTGCCCTGGGTCCCCAACAGGTTGGGAGAGGCCCCCAGTCTGACAGGCAGAAGCTGGGGCAGAGCATCCTGATCTGAGTACCCCTCTGCCTGATTTGAATCCCAACTCTGCCCCTACTGGCTACAGTGCCTAGGGCAAGTCACTTAAATTCTCTGTGCCTCAGTTTCCTCAACTGTAATGTAGGAATGAGAGGCTGAATAGACAAACGGACACTGGTGAGACCATGTACAAAAAGGACTCTGGCCCTCTGCCTCTCAGCAGCCAGCCAGGAAGCCACACCACCACGTCTGCATAATAGGCCCGGGTGTCAACATGTGGCCAATGACTGCCGGCTTTCCTAGCTTGTTACCTTTCCTTCCAACTCCAGACCACCAGAAAAAGCCAAATCTATTCCCCAAACAGATCATATTACAAGGCCCCACTGTGAGTTGGCCTCCCTGCTGCTTCCCCATGCCCACAGCCTCCAAGCAGAGCACACCTGAAGCCTGCCCCTTCTCAGAGTTTTCCCACTCTGCTGATGGCCTGTGGGTCTCTGCCAAAAGCAGTTGATGGTGAGCCTTGTTGGGCCCTTCACAGGCTTGTCAGGAGGATAAATGTAGGCAATGCAAGTAAAGTGCTTAAAGAGGAACCTGATTCATATACAGCACTCAATAAGATGGTTGTTTTGCTTTGTTTTTTTTATTAATTTCACAATGGAAAATGGTAAGGCAGATTCAAATAAATTATTTGCACATGAAAGAATTTAAGAACTACTAAACGACGGGGATTTGGGTGGATGTTTAGTTGAGCTTCTTTTCTACCATGTCCTCGGCAATATCGTTATTTCTACTCTATAGAAGAGGAATCTGAAACCCAGCAAGCCTGAAATTGGAAGAAGCTGGATTCCAAAGTCCATGTTATTTCAACTTCTCATGCTCATTTCTATGATGATTGTTTTAAAAGGTTTCACTTGGAGATATCTACCTATTAGGGGTTTGTGTAATCCTGGCCTTTGGTGAGAACAGAATGGGCAGATCACATGATTCCCTGATCTGTGAGTTCATCAATCACATTAATATCATGCAATAATATTATGGCAGGAATTTGGGAAAAGGTAGTCGAGATGTTGCTGGGTTGAAATTAAATGGTTTAAAGTTAAACACCTAGAGAGCAAGACCCAGAGCAAAGCTCCTTGGCACAGTGATGGCTGATGAGAGTTAGGAAGCCAGCTTAATCAGGTGACATCTATGTCCTATGTCCATGAGTATTTTTAAGATATTAAGATAGCCAGAGAGATAGTAGAGATAGTGCTTGATATATGATAGATAGATAGATTTGGCTTTTATCTTGATAGATTTTATCAATTACTTAGATGACATGAGAACCCAAATCAGGAGCAGTTGATAATTGTGTGTTGCTATATTAAAGGTTGTTTAATGGTGACAAAAGAAGAGACAGGCAAGTCTCCAAACAGATAAGCCTTCTAGCTTCAAGTGGTGCTCCTCTCCTAGAGTGAAAAACATGTAAGAACAATTGGATGACTTTGGAGTTTAATGGGGAATATAAATATGTAAGGGACATAATGAATTCCTCTATTCCACAGTAACAATTCATTTTGCTATGGGTGACAAAAAACTCTGAAATAGCCCTTGGAAGCCCATATTTGAGAGAAAGATGAATAAGCATTTTAAAAGAAACACTTCAACAACTAAGTTAGTAATGAAACTTAGAGTACACAGATGTTTATACTCTTCTGACACATATTCTAACAACAGCATTGTATGGCCTTTAAGTAAAATTAGGGTTCACTCATCCACTTGCATTTGTATACATAAATAATTTTTTCTTGTTCTTGCATTTGTCATAAATAATTTTTCTTGTTGAAATGAATAGATTTGATGAGGTCAATAGCAGACCTCATATTTGACTCCCTTCCTTTCCCAGTTTCCATGATAAAAATGTAAAAAATTAAGAACAGTCTGGGAAGTAGAGGGGACAAGCACAGAGCCCCTAGCACCCACAATCCCACAGAGAGGAGCCAAGCCCAAAGGGACTCTGGGAGGCACATGGGTAGCAGCAAATCTCAGCCCACAAACATGTGGAAGTGCGAGAATGCAGTTCATTCACCTCCCAGCTGCAGCTCTTCCTCCAGCCACCTTTGTAATGTCTGTACCTTTTTTTGGACTGAATCACTACAGCTCTCCATACTCTATAGAGACTTTTCTCTCTAAAGAAAAATTACCAGACAGTTGACAGGTTTCAGTGGTTCAAGAAAGGTGCTTTATATAAGGAATTAAAGAAAATACATGACAAATGAAAAACAGCCAAATACAAATACATTTTTAAAAAACATGTTTTCAGCAACTTAACAAGGTTCAAGAGAACTTTGTACCATTGAAAGGGGATCAAGACAATGAGAGAAAAGGTTACTTGGATATGAAAAGCTTTGTTAGTGGATTTTAAATGCCTGGGCTGATTCAGACAGTGGTAGTCAATGGATGGCTTTGCGAGAGGAAAGGTTGCCGGGAACTTTGTGCAGGGAGTGCTCAGGCTGACGTGAGGACCAGCGACAGAGTGATCCCTTGGTGTCACCGAAAGCAGGTCATTTGGGCATTCTGCACCTCCAGGTGTGACACAGTATATATAGCACACAGACCCGCCTCTTACAGACTCTTGCCAAAAAGAGGTGAGGCAGAATCTAATTGTATCTTTAAAGTTAACAAGAGAAAACATGAGTGTGGGGGGAAAGGACAAGTTAATCGACACCAGAAGCATGCATGGCATTTTAGAAGACTACTGACTGGCATAAAACAAGCCAGGAAGGAAGGGGCTGAGTGAGATTAAGAGGGACTTAAGAAAAGGCCAACCAAATGGGGTGTAGGGACTCTGTTGGGATCCCGATTCAAACAAACTCATGGTGTTTTTAGAAACACTCAGAGAATCTTGATTACCAAGTGGATATTGTGTGATACTAAAGAATTTTTGTCAGTTTTTGTATGAGGTGTAGTAGTGGCATGGTGGTTATGTGAGAACATGTCTCTTTTGATTTAGACTTGCATACTAGTGCTCAGGGTAATGCCTGTGATCATTGTTATCTTTACTTTTTAATTTCTAGCTTTATTGAGCTACTATTGCCACACAAGAAATGTAAGCTTAAGGTGTACAATGTGATGATTTGGTACATGTATGTATTGCAAATGATCATCACAATCCAGTTAATTAACACCTCCATCCCCTCATATAATTACACTGTTTTTGTGGTGATGGCTTTTCAGATCTACTCTCTTACAACTTTCAAGTATATAGTACAGTCTGATTAGTTATAGTCACCATGCTGTATCTTAGATGGGATTATTTTTTAAATACTTCAACAAAAAAAAAAAGAAAAAAGGAATAAAGGAAATGTGGTAATATCTTGATAATTGTTGAATCTGGGTACCGGTAATATAAGGGTTTATTGTACGCACTGGTATGTATGAAAATGTTCATACTGTATTTTCTATTATAACAGTGACACCTCAGTCAGACTGGACACCATGTTCATCACCTGGCCCGCTACTGACAACAGGCAGCTACCAGAACAGAGTATTCTGTTTTGGTAATCTACTTACTCCAAAAATTACCACACAGGAATTCTGCCATGTCAGATCTGTAAGTACTGGTGAATGTGGCAGGTGTTGACATGCTCTATCTGTTCCCTTCAGGATTGAGAGACTAGTTCTTCAGCTGCCCAGAGGGTCCCCTGCTTGTCTCTAAGCCAAATCCCTACCCAGGAGCTGTTCTCTGTCAAGGCGAGCTGCCTCATGCCAGGTCATGGCGCCTTCACGGGCAGTGGGCATCCAACATCTGGTCCATGTGTGGAAAGGCCCCCTTACCCCAATTTGAGACAAGTGTGAAAGGCTCCAGAGTCCCTCTGGGGAGGCCGACAGCTTTGTTGTGGCTGCCCTGCAGTTTAACTTGCCTGCACAGTCTTGCTCCACTTACTCTCCTGCAGGCATTACTCTTAAGAGCAGTAGCCAGTCACCCTGCTACACACAGATCTCCATCTCAGCTTCTGTTTGCCTGGACACCCGACCAAAGCAGTGTGGAAAGACCCCCACTACCTGTTGTTGAATGAGAAAACAAATTGCAAAACAGCGTGAATAGAAAGTTTCCTTGAAAATAATAGAAAAAACAAAAGCACACATTTCTATAGGGTTATAATAACACAGTAAAAGGTATGGAAATATATATATAATATATATATACACACACACACATACACACATCTTCTGGGGAAAGGGAAGTGAATTAAGAAGATGTTAAGGGCAGTTTCCATTTTATCTGAATCATTTTACCTTTTATTAAGAAGATGAATTAATCTGTTATTTGTATTATTTAAAGTAAGTCAATAGTTTGTTCTTTTCAAACATGAAATAAGAGCTTCTTTTAGCAGGTGGAATACTACAGACATGTATGAGTTCCTGAGATGAGATTAAGGCTTCCAGAACCCAGGCAAAAAGGCTAAACAAGGAATACAAGGTATAGAAATAAAAGAGATGAAAAGTAGACCCAGAGGATTCTGTGTGTGTGTGTGTTTGTGTTTGTGTGTATGTGTTTCATATGAAAGAGAAGCAGGAGAAGCAATCATTACACAGACAATAGAACAAAAATGCTTTGGTTTGGAAAGACTGGAAGCTTCAGAGCAAAAGGGTCTCCAAGTACCAGGCAAAATATCCAAAAAGAACCGCACATCTATGTAGTAGAATTTTTTAACTCAAATGATAAAAAAGGAAAATGTTATAGTCATTCAGAGATTAAAAACAGGTTGTCTCCCAAATATTAAGAAAATTCAGTTGGCACCAGACTTCTTAAAAATGCCAAATGCCAAAAATCAACAGAAAAGTGGCCACAGCATTTGAGAAGGAAATATTGTGACCTAAGAGTTTTTCATCCAATAAAGTGATATTTACCATGTGCAAGAGCATCAGAAGACAGTTGCATACATGCAAGAACTGAAAAGCATAGCATGCACATATTTTCCTTAATAAAAATTACTTAACCAAGTATTGATGCATAAATGCTATGAGACAAAAACTTGAACCTGGATGTTGAATAGAAAATTAATTGTGATGAGCAATAAAATAACTAAAATTTTGAATTAGTCTAATTAAGCAATATTAGCTTGGAGTGAAGCTTAATGCAAATGTCAAGAATTATTTTTAAAGTTAATATTCATAACATTAAAAAACCATTATTAGTAGTAATTTAGATAAAAAGTCCTTCATTTATTGAGAAAACCCCAGGAAAGATGATAGTCAAGAAAAGAGGAAGGAAGGAGAATGTATAAGGGTGCTAAACATAGGTATTTAAAAGACATTATTTTATTCTTGGTATTAATTGGGAAACATGTAGATATATATTTTTTTCAGTTTAAAAGCTATCACTGGTAGACCAAAGTTATAAATTTTAATTTCTAAAGAAATAGGGAAAAAATTAGGAACATTTGGCCAATTAAAAAAGAGTAGGAAAAGAAAAAAAAGTGGAAGATGAAGAAAAATATGTTTAAAAGTACAAAATGACAAAATCAGGGTGAAAGAAATTAATTCTTAAAATTAATGAGTATATTACACTGAAGTATTAAAAACAGAATACATTCAGATTCACTTTAAAAAAATACAATTATGGGATTTTCCAGAGACTCAACTAAAATTAACTGAGAAAGTTTAAAATAATTAGGTGGATAAGACACACTGGACAAAACAAAAAGAATGTGGGGAGTGGGGGTGGCAAAAATAATATCAAGTAAAGAAGGAGAAACAATTGTTAAATGGGACAAAAGGGATTGTTTTATATTTTTGAACAATATCTACATTAAAGTTATAATAGTCATGAATGATTGAATTTATCATTGAATCATACAGCATTAAAATGTTCAAAATATATTAGGAGGAGAAATTGACAAAAAGTACATCTAATAGGAAATTTTAGTATACCTATCCTAGAATCTGGAGAAATAGTAGAAAAAATCATTAAGGACATAAAAAATTAATATATTAAAAAGCTTAGATCTCTATCAACCAATCAATTATGAATTATTGTACACTTAGTACATCCATCCTTAGCATATTTACAAAAATCAGTATCTTGGGCCACAAAGCAAATCTCAATTCCAAAAAGGACATTATACTAACTGATTTCACCACAGTGCAATAAAATTGAAAATGAATGGCAAGTGCTCTTTTAAAATTCTACTTAGAAACTCCAAAAAACCCAGCTAACTAACACTGAAGTCAAAGAAGAAATTAAAGCTGCAATTAAGAACGATTTAGAAGGTGATTATAATGGCTAGAATGAATCTCAGATTTTCATGGGGTATTCCAAAGCTGTATCAAAGACATTTCAAAAAGAATATAATACCTGACCTATACTTTTACCAATATTGACCCAAGAGAAGAAATAATAAACATGTAAGCTGAAATTCATAAATTTGAAACAGACAAATTGATAAATAAAAGAAACAGATTTAATTCTGAACGAGCTAAGAAAACAAAGAAGAGAATAGAAATATACATGAAGAGTAAAAGAGCATATATTTTAGAAACAGAGAACAAATTCTTAGAAATGACAGGAATGAAATCAAACAATGGATATGAAATACATTACTTTCAAGGAGGAGCCAAGATGGTGGTGTGAGTAGAGCAGCGGAAATCTCCTCCCAAAACCATATATATTTTTGAAAATACAACAAATACAGCTCTTCCTGAAAGAGAGACCAGAAGACACAGGACAACAGCCAGACCACATTCACACCTGGAAGAACCCAGTGCCCCGCAAAGGAGGTAAAATACAAGCTGCGGCCTGGCAGGACCCGAGCGCCCTCACCCCAGCTCCCGGTGGGAGGAGAGGAGTTGGAGCTGGGAGGGAGAGGGAGCCCAGGACTGCTAAACACCCAGCCCTAGCCATCCACACCAGAGTGCAGACACAGTGCGTGCATGGGGTACTGGAAACTAGGAAAAAAGGACAGTAAGACCTGTGAGTGGGTCCCCACAGCCAGTGCTGCTGGGACAAAGAAAAGCAAGTGCTTTTTGAAAGTCTTAAAGAGACAGGGACCCCACAGCTGGATGGAAGCATCCCGGGACACTTAGCCCAGCAGCTGGGAATCCCGGGGAACTCTGGGCACTCTAACCCCCTGGGAAGCAGGGCAGCTTGGAGGCCCCTCACGGAGATAAACAGCCTCCTGACCATTTCCCCTCTGACGCAGCTCCGCTATTTCGGAGCAGCAGCCCGAGGCAGGCCATGCCCACAGCAAATGTGGAGCTAAACTCCATAGCGGACGGGCAAGAATCAGAAGCGCCATCTACACACAGCTGCCCAGCACAAGCTGCTAGAGGTCGCTGTTCTCCAAGGAGAGGAAGGCCACAAACCAACAAGAAGGGATGTTCTCCTAGCCATCACTTGGGCCAGCTCTGCAAACTATCTCTATCTCCATGAAAAGGCAGAAAAATTTGATACAGAGCAAAATCACAACCCCTGAGAAGGATATAGACCTAACCAGTCTTCCTGAAAAAGAATTCAAAATAGAAATCATAAACATGCTGACGGAGCTGCAGAGAAATATACAAGAGCAAAGGGATGACATCCAGAGGGAGATTACAGAAGTGAAACAATCTCTGGAAGGATTTATAAGCAGAATGGATAAGATGCAAGAGGCCATTGATGGAAGAGAAACCAGAGAACAGGAACACATAGAAGCTGATGCAGAGAGAGATAAAAGGATCTCCAGGAATGAAACAATATTAAGAGAACTGTGTGACCAATCCAAAAGGAACAATATTCACATTATAGGGGTACCAGAAGAAGAAGAGAGAGAAAAAGGGATAGAAAGTGTCTTTGAAAAAAAATAATTACAGAGAACTTCCCCAAACTGGGAGAGGAAATAGTTGCTCAGATTACAGAAGCACACAGAACTCCCAACAGAAGGGACCCAAAGAGGACAACACCAAGACACATAATAATTGAAATGGCAAAGATCAAGGACAAGGACAGAGTATTAAAGGCAGTTAGAGAGAGAAAAAAGGTCACCTACAAAGGAAACCCATCAGGCTATCATCAGACTTCTCAAGAGAAACCTTACAGGCCAGAAGAGAATGGCATGATATATTGAATGCAATGAAACAGAAGGGCCTTGAACCAAGAATACTGTATCCAGCACGATTATCATTTACATATGAAGGAGGGATTAAAGAATTCCCAGACAAGCAAAAGTTGAGGGAGGGAATTTGCCTCCCACAAACCACCTGTACAGGGTATTTTAGAGGGACTGCTCTAGATGGGAGCACTCCTGAAAAGAGCACAGAACAAAACACCCAACATATGAAGAATGGAGGAGAAGGAATAAGAAGGGAGAGAAATAATCATCAGACTGTGTTTATAACAGCTCAATAAGCGAGTTAAGTTAGACAGTAAGGTAGTAAACAAGCACCAATCAAAAGACACAGAGTAATAGAATGGATAAAAAAGCAAGACCCATCTATATGCTGCTTACAGGAGACTCACCTCAAACCCAAAGACATGCACAGATTAAAAGTCAAGGGATGGAAAAAGATACTTCATGCAAACATGAAGTTTGCATGAAGGGAGAAAAAAGCAGATGTTGAATACGAGTATCAGACAAAATAGACTTCAAAACAAAGGAAGTAACAAGAGATAAAGAAGGACATTACATAAAGAGATAAAGAAGGAATTACATATCCAACAAGAGGATATAATCATTATAAACATATATGCACCCAATACAGGAGCACCAATATATGTGAAACAAATACTAATGGAAGTAAAGTAGGAAATAGAATGCAATGCATTCATTATGGGAGACTTTAACACACCACTCACTCCAAAGGACAGATCCACCAGACAGAAAATAAGTAAGGACACAGAGGCACTGAACAACACACTAGAACAGATGGACCTAATAGACATCTACAGAACTCTACACCCAAAAGCAACAGGATGGACATTCCTCTCAAGTGCACATGGAACATTCTCCAGAATAGACCACATACTAGGCCACAAAAAGAGCCTCAGTAAATTCCAAAAGATTAAAATCCTACCAACCAACTTTTCAGACCACAAAGGTATAAAACTAGAAATAAATTGTACAAAGAAAGCAAAAAGGCTTAACAACATGCTCCTAAATAATCAATGGATCAAAGACCAAATTAAAATGGAGATCCAGCAATATATGGAAACAAATGACAACAGTAATACAAAGCCCCAACTTCTGTGGGATGCAGCAAAAGCAGTCTTAAGAGGAAAGTATATAGCAATCCAGGCATATTTAAAGA